TGTGGTCTGTGGTTTAGATAGCAGGAATGTCATCAGAACTAATCTCCTGATCTTGATGGTTGCATTGTGGTTATGAGGGAGAATGTCATTGTTTGTACAAAATATATACTAAAGTATTCAAAGCTCATGGAGGTGATTATGCCTGCAACTCACTCTTAATAGGTTCAGAAAAAGAGAAAAAAGAAAATTCTTTGGACCATTCTTGTAGCTTTCTAGTGTTTAAAATTATTACAAAATAAAACTATTTTTAGCATTGAAAAAATAAGTTTAGAATTGTAGTATTATGCTCATCTGGCTTTAAATGTAGGACAAACTCAATTCTCAATGTTCTTAGTGTTCTGTGTTAATATGCATGACGATATACTTTAACTTGTTAGCTATTATTATATTCAGTACCATCTTTTCACATTTATGCTGACCCATAATTTATCTTATCAAAACAACAAATATTAGTTATATTTCTAAGGAGGGAATAGTGGGCTCTGGCATCAGCTGACTGGGTCAAACCCTGCTGCCACCACTTGCTAGCTATAGCATCTTAGGCAAATTACCTAATAATACCTCTTTGTCTCACTTTCCTTATCCATGAAATGTGGATAATAATAATAATACCAAACCCACTGGGTTGCTATGAGAATTAAATGTCATGGCCTATGCAAAGCATTTAGACACTGAGCAGAACATAGCCAATATTCAATAAATATAAGCTGGTGTTAACCAGTATTATCCTGCTACTCCTATAGCTCTATTAAATAAAACATAAGTATAATTGATGAAAGTGCCTACTTTTTTAGACCATTCCTCCCTCTTATAAGGTAATTTTTCATGTGTGTACGTTCTAGAGAATTTGGAAATGTATTAGATGGCAAAATGTAAAAATTAAAGACTGAATTCTTTATAAATAAAAGAGGATTGACCAAAAAAAAAAAAAGTTGAGCCTTCCTCACTTGAGAAAAATAAATATACCATTTGTATTAGTCAGCTGTTGTCACAATAATGCTGTGTAACAAATAATCTCCAAATACAGTACCTTACAATGAAAATATTTATTCTTGTGCTCCCAGATTTGTGAGATGATTGTCATTCAGCTGATGTACACTGGGTTCAGCTGAGCAGTTCTGTTTCAAGCTATGACTTGCCTGGGCTTAGCTCCAGATGTACCTTGGGTTCAAGTCTGCTCCACATATCTTGCATTCTCTTTAGGCCAGTAGCTATAGGACCATCTTCTCATCATAGCAAATGTCAGGAGTATAGGCACCAAGTCCAATTCTGTTACAAAGTTAAGCCTTTTGCTCATATTATATTCACTAATATTTCATTAGCCAAATCAGGCAACTTGGTCAAATCCAACATCCGTGGGTTGAGACATATTCTCTGCCCACAGTGAGAGAAATACTAACTGTATAATCCATGACAGGGGACTGAAGAACTGGAACCAACAATCTAATCTGTTATCTATTATCTAATCTATTATCTAACCTGTATTTCAATTGCTTATGCTCTGTCTGTGTCTGGAAATGTTGACAACTCTATAAAAAAAAGAGTATATTAATCCATAAGCAAGCAGTGCACATCAGGTTGTTTCCTCAGGTAGCAGGAATGGATATGCTGATTTACTTCCCCTTTCTCTTCCCATCCCCAAGCACCATTCACAAACTCCAGAATTGGGATGGCAATCTGTGGCCATGATAGTGTGAGTTTGCCCTTGTAAATCTCATACAGAAATAAACATGGGTTACATTCTTGTCATCCAATAAATAATGCATTCCTTCTACCTTGATGAATTCAGTTTGCAGCAGGAGTCTCTTATTTTTATTTCTGTAAAATTCTTGAAATATCCTTACATATAGTACATGTTCAATAAATATGGGTTGGAAGAGTGAAGAGCAAGATACTAATAACGGAGAAACAAAAATTATGCAACAACTAGAATTCTCACAGGTTGCTGAGCATTTTGGCCTGAGAAAATAAAGTGTTATGTGACTCCCACTGTGAATGCAATGGCACTTTATTATCTGAAATAAATATGTGATCTTAAAGGCATACCAACTATGAGGATTTAGCTTCTGCGTGACATTTTTTAAGCTAACAAAATAGCCTGTCTCTTCCCTATATTTCTTCACATTTATTGTAAGCCTTTTAAATCCCTTCTAAAAACCGTAAGTTTATATTCACCACTTTACTTAACTTTTTACTGTTTATGGGCTTCCTGTGAAGATAGCTAGACAGACAAGGCTGATGAAAAGAAAAGCTTGTCCTTATGAAATACTTACCGGTAACTGTGTAATGGGATTTTTTTTTCCCCTACCAGTGGAAGACCACTGTTTCAGTAAGAACCCACTCATCTGAGGCATTTTAATGGATGGAAAGCTATGCGCCAGCCAAAATGTCCTTCTGAAAGAGTGAAATGAATGTTAATCCAATTGCCAGAGAATGCTTGCCTTGAAAGCAAGACTTCTACACTGGCTCCCCCTGCTGGATTCTAGGATGCGCTGTCTAGAGATTGATGAAAGCAATGTACCTAAACCTTGTCATCTGAGGGCATATTATTCAAATGGCAAATCTGGCATTCTTCGAGAAGGCACTTACTCAGTAATACACAGGCCAGCTGTTTCTGGAGTTTGCTTCCTAAGGGCAGAAAGACTGCAACTGGATCCTGCAGTCAAGGGTCAAAGTAGGAAACGAAAGCATACCACTTGGGTGGCTGTGCTAGGGAGTGGGCCGGCATGCATATGCATATGGGTAAAGACCCAGGAGCAGATATGTTAGGAAAACAAGACTGGTTTTTATTGTTGTAAAGCTGGACTTGGGGAATCTGACTGGAAACTTTCTTCTCATGCATTTCGACCTGCAAGAACCAATGCCTCACCTTCCTTTGACTTAATTGTTTCTCTTTCCTTCTTATCTTCCTCTCTCCACAAGAAAGCTTTTTACTCTATAGGAGATGTGTTAACCAGACTAATTTTAAAGGCAGCCTGTCACTGCAGACTTCAAGCCTATTGTGAAATCTCTGTTAAAAAGACTGTCTGCTGGGGGTGGGAGTCAGGGGGAGACAGAAAAGCTGACATTTTCTCCTGCTTGATTCTGACTCCATTTGGTGGGAAGAAGGAGGAAGAAAATACTGACCTATGTTTTTGACACATGCTGTAGCACAACTTAGCCTTGTTAAGCGAGCCAGAGCAGCAAGGATGGCTCCCTAGAGCAAAAGCCAATGCCTGTCGCCTACTTGGAGGATTAGAACAGAGCAAGTGGCAGACATTATGGGGTACTATGAATGTGCCACTTAGAACACAGGATGTAGGTAGCTACAGAGCTACCCTGACCCAGATCCTCTGTTAAAAGCTATACTCTATCCTCCAAGACAAATAGCACAGGCGTTGTTGGGCGGAGGGAATCATACACGCACTTACATATCCATTGGTAATATTCCTTCCCTACACCAGAAACCTTTCTTTCTTTCTTTCTTTCTTTCTTTCTTTCTTTCTTTCTTTCTTTCTTTCTTCTTTCTTTTCTTCTTTCTTTCTTTCTTTCTTTCTGTCATACTATTATAAACTTTTTCTTTCATTCAAGTCAATTTCAAATGTTTTCCCATCTGCAACTCTCTTCAGTCGATTATTTTTCAGAGCTTCTTAGTGAGATGTTTCCCCATTACTTCCAAGGCTCTTGTTGTGCCTCTACTATTTGAGTTCTCCTCTGTGGAGGATTCCCCAGCCTCTTGCCTCTAGATTAAGAGCTGGTAGTACTGAATAGCGGGTCAAGTAATCTGAGCCTGGTTTCAGGTCAGGAACTGAAAAGGGCTGTGCTGGGTGATTCTTCCGCTCCTTGAGGCACTGGCTGAGGTCACCATTTGGCTGCATGCAGCAGGCAGCTGGGCAGGGTTGGAAGGTGCAGAAGGACTCACCCATATGCCTGGCCCCTCAGTACTTTGCCATATGGCACCCTGCCCTTTACATGTGCCTCTTTCTTGGTAGGCTAGCCTGAGCATCTCTAACATGGTGACTGGCCTCCCAGAGGGAGAAAGTAGAGCTGCTCGTCCTCTGAGGCCTTGGCTTAGAGGGGCCAGAACATCACTTACATGTTTCATTGATCTAAACAAGTCATGGAACCAGTGTGGATCCATGAAAGGAGAGAGATTCCATTTCTTGAGAGATATAGGATCTGTGGCCATCTTTAACCCATAGTAATATATTCCAGTCACTCCACTTCTCTGTTTTCTGCACTTTAACTACATGTTTATATTTTGCTCCTGTGTCTTTATATAAATATTTCTTTTTAAAAATTTTCCAAATAAGAAGAGATTTAGAAACTCTCCCAGCAGTGAGGTAGAAAATTCTGCCTTTATTTGCCTTTGAAAATTTTATTTTTTTACTCATAAATTCACTCATAAATTCATATGACACATTTTAAGCCAAAAGAAAATGTTCACTAGTTTCTAGTATCTAGCCATCATTGCACCTGCCTAGTGATTTATTTTTCAAGGAGTTATTTACTATGGTGTAAACTTGATTGACATAATCTGTTCAAGACAAAATATTCCATTGGATAGATGTGTTAGACTGTCGTGTGTAACTTAGGTACAAATAGATATTTTTAGCAATGTCTATCAAACAGGAAAAGATGCCATAGAAACTCAATCAACCAAATTTCCTTACATGGTGCATATTGCTTGAGTCAAGGCAGAAAAGCAGATTTGAATTAAGATCAGTACTGCATTTTGGGAAATGCTGTGCAGGGAGAGAAATGTTGTAAGAGTGCTGAGTGAATTTTGTTTACTGTGGTTCAACATTTCATCAAGCAAATCAGGTGAGAAGGGACAAGTATAAATGTACCTATTTATGTGGGTAATTTTTCTGTTTCGCACCTCTGATTCATCTCTCTGCCTTGCTTTGGGAGTCATGCTACATTGGTTACAATTAATTTCAGTGCTGCATATTAGCCGTAAAGAGATATTTCATAAATTGACTTGATGTATTTTTCCCCCTCTGTGGTTTTCTTGAAAGATGAGAATGGTCCAGAGGAAAAACAAAGTACAGAAGAAACAGAAGGGCAGAGTCAAGAAACAGGTGGGCTCAGATTTCTTTTGAGGAGTCTCCTAGGCCTCATCCACAGAGGTGAACAATAACTTTACTCAAATGTTTTCTAGAAATGCATATACCTTTTCACCAGTTTACTTCAGTATTCATTTAGGTCTCCTTCAAGAAGCCATCAATTCCACTGACTACAGGTGACAGTGCTTCCATTCAGAAGGGTACATTCTCATTCCTCATTCATCAACTCCATTTTTTTCTGCCTAACAACACTTTGCTTCGAAATGCTCTAAGAGCGACCAGCAGAGGTTAGAAGGGCCAGCTCAGAACTTGGCTGCATTAGGACAGGTCAAAATTAGCAGATTTTGTTTGGGAGAAAAAAATGAAATGAAAAAATGTTAAAAGGAAATAAATAAGAGGCTTTCCCTCCATGAGGAGTAGAATGTTCTCCACTGTTTTGCATTACACTTTGAAGAGCTGTGTTTCTGGTTGTCATTTTACATGTTGTAGCAGATGGAACCTGGTAACCCCACAACCCAAGCTAAAGTGAGATCCAAAGACTTATTGACATCTCCTCTGTGCCCTAAGAACAGATGTGTCTATTGGATGTTTATAGATTCTCTGCTGTAGATTCTAAGTTGAACATCTTTAAGTAAAGTAGCACTTAAGGCTCTAAAGAGATTGTCACCACCTTTAACATCTCATTTCTTCTTAGCCATTTTTGTACTCAGGCACATTCTTCTTTAAAAGACTGATAGGCCTAGTTATGCCTTTATCAACACCACCACCAAAATCAAAATATCTTTCCTTTAGTCTCCAAGTCCTAATGAGCCCCATGGAGGGGCATTTTTTTAAACAGTGGGCTCCATCCTATGTGTACCAGGCACGTCCTAGGCCATATAATGAACTTTGGAAATCAACCAGGTAGTGTGATAAGTTTTTCACTGAAAACTTCCTACATTAACCTTGGAACTTTTGCTAGAGAACTGGAATCTTTTATTATTAACCTGGAAGATGGAATTGAAGAAGGCCAATCAGAGAAAGCACTGAAGCAAAGCAGCAAGGACCTTGTGTAGCTGCCACCGGGTCAGCTGGCTCCCTTGGCCGAAACATAGTCCTTGAAATGAAATGAATTTCTGATACAGCGAACTGTTGTTATCCAACATCCCCCACCCCAGCTCCTGACACACACATCATTATGCTCCATGGATATGAGTCTAATGTGAGAAGCTGTCATTGTTTTCACTGTTTGTGGCTGACAAGTATTAGTCAACTAACTGCTGACAGCTGAGGCCATTCTCTGAATAGTGAGATTTCACAGGTTTTATTCACTCACTGTTCTGTCCCCAGCTATCTTTATCACCATAGATTTTTCCCACACTTGTTCACATACACATACACACACACACACACACACATACATGTACACATTTGCCCATGTTTTATTAATTCATCCTTTTTAAGCTAGTAAGTTGAGAACAAGCAGTTTCTTTTTGGATTTGGGATTGCCTGTCAGCAGAGAGTGGTTGAGTATAATGTAAGTTTTCTTCTCCACCTCTTGGATCAATAGCATTATCATCACAATATGTTTACCTGTCAATGTAAAGAATAATCCTAAATGTACCCCGAAGGGGCTTCTCTTGCTCTTCCAAGTGAACCCACTGGCTGGGACAAGTCATGGCAGGATCCATCTCTGATCTTGGCTATTGTCAATATACATGATTGTGTCTGCTATGGCTCATTTCATAGCCTCCCTAATCAAATGCACAAAAATCAACGATGAGGTCCCGGCCATTAAAGTCCTTTTGACCTACTGTTGTTCTTCCAAAATATAAATACCTCCTTTACATTTAATATGATTTCCAACTTCAATTTTGATTATGTAACTGCAGGCCTCTTCTACATCGTGAAAAACACACAATCTCAAACCAGCACAGTTTTGACTGCTGTCATGATCAAATCAAATCAAAGTTGTAGACAATATTCCTCAAATAGTCCTTTAAAAAATGCATATCAAGAGTCTACTGTGACTCAGGCACTGTTTTGGGCACTGGGATATAGTAGCAAACCAAAAAGACAACATCCTTGCCTCCTTGAACCTTATATTCTGATGGAGTTGGCTGTGGAGGGAGGTAAAATTCAGAAATAAACAATAAACCAAAAAATACAAAGTGGTGATAAATGCCTTGTGGAGAAATGAGGTAGGTAGAAGGCATACTGGGAAGGCAACTTTCCATTGTCTGGATTTGGGAAGGACTCCCTGAAGAAGGGATATTAAATAAAATCACAATGAGGAGATGGTGGAAGAGCATTCTTAGATGGAGAGACAAGATGATGCAGATGCCTCAAGACCAATTTTAGTATACTGGAGAAAGAAAGTGTGGCTGGAGCATGGTGCATTTGGGGGAACATGGTGTACGATTTGGTTAAAAAAATCATAGGACCAGATAATGTCTGATTCCATAAGATTTTATTTTATTAGAACTACAAAGAGAAGCCAGTGGAAGTGTTGAAGTTTTAATGAGCTCACTTTGCCTGTGAGTAAAAGTGGTTACAAGAACCAGAGTGAAACCGGTTAGACTATAGCAGGAAAAAATGATGGCAGTTTCTGGAAATGGAGACAAAATGAACTGATCTGTTATGTTCCAGACAAAAAGATAACAGGGTGTGCTGATGGATTTGGATGTGGAATATGGGGAAAAGAAGAATCTAGGATACTTCCTAGATTTTTAGCATGAGTACTTTGTAGATGATGGTGCCATTTGCTAATATATAGAAGACTAGTCACTAGGCACAGTTTTTATTGAGGAAGTTAATAGTTCAGTTTTTTTCCATGGTAAATTTGAGAGGACTCTGTCATATGGAATGTCAAGAAGCTAGCTAGTTAGATATATGATTCTGGAGAGATGTAGACTAAGATACAGGTTTGAGATTCCCTGGCATATAAATGAGATTTAAAATCATAGTTCTGAAAAAAACAAATATTTACAAAATAAAATAAATAAAACCATGGGTCTGGGTAAGATTCACTAGAAATAACATGAAAGTAAAGAAAACAATGGGCTTGAGACACCAAGACATCTAGATATATGACAACAGGATAGAAAAAAGAAAGTGTTTCAGAAAGAACCAGAGTTAAGAACTCCATGAAATTCTACCAAGAAATCAAGTAAGATGAGAAAAGAGAAATGACCATTGGATTTGGCAAAGGGCAGTCATTGGCATCTTTCCTCAGAGAATTCTCAGCCAGTGGAGTGGGTTATTGAGACCATGAAGTGAGGAAGTATAGAACAATAACATAGACAGCTCTTTTAGGGAGTTTTACTGTGAAAGGAAGGACAAATGGGAAGATGTAATAGCAAGGGAAGGTTCATAGTCTTGTTTTTTTTTTTTGTTTTTTTTTTGTTGTTGTTGTTGTTGTTGTTGTTGTTATAGGAGATTGTTACCTGCCAAAAGAAAGTGATTTATCCTCTCCAATTATTCCCCTACTAAAAATTTTATTCTTTCAATAAAGGCATGACCTGCTAGTAATAGTCGTATACATTAAGAATGAAGGAGATACTAGAAAATATGCAAGTTGTCTTTAAATTTTAATTGTCACAGGTGTGTGAGTTCTCTTGAGTCCCATAACCCTGTTACTAAACAAAGAACGTATACTCCTTTTTGATTCTTTCTTAAATTGTTAAGCATTAACCATTCTGATTTTTATAATCTTTCATATATTAAATTTACTATTTTAATGTTAGTAAGTTAATTATCTATTATCTTGGAAGCCAGATATGAGTGGGGTCACTGTAGTGCTTATGATATTGAAAGGAAAGATAAACTTTAATGAAGTTCATTGCCACTGTGTTGGGGAAAGGACTTCCAAGTTTCTTAGTCCCCACTCTGTGCTTGGGTGACATGAAATCTCCAGTTGGCTTTTGCTGCTTTCCTACAACTGATCCCCATCTCCTGGCCTCTGCACTGACAGCCATCAGATATGCTCCCTGCAGTTTGACAGGCTGGCATAACAGAGCAGAAGTGCTATGCTAAGAAAAACCAAACCTTAAAACACACACATGAAAGCACTTTGTAGAAACTTGCAAGGAAATACTTTCACAAGCTTTCACTAAAAGAAATGTACCATTTTTCTAGAAATGGGGAAAAGCAAAATGCCAAAGCATAATAGGAGGACCAATGAATAGTATTCTTCACCAAAAAATAGTTGTAGTCATTGGACTCTGTGTTCCCTGAAGATACTTGTCCATTAATTATAAAACAGAGTCACAAACCCTAGCCCCTTCAAAGACCATTCAGTGTCTTATAGCATTAAACAGGCTCATGCTTCCTTGCAGTAGTGAGGGACTTGCCACAGTCAGAGAAGCTCCATCTCGACAGTATTAAATCTGAGCCAATGTTTCTCTTTCTGCTGTATAGATGGAGTCAATGCTGCAACTGGGCCCAGCCCTGCTTCGGAAGAGGCTGTTGAAGTCTGTAAAGATGAAGGTATGAGACCACTTATTATATCTAAAAATCCCAAACTCATAGAAGACCACTTAGATTTTGTTTACATGGGAAAATGAAGCAGTGAGCAAATCTACCTAATTCTCTTAAGCACCTCTGTTTCCAACATAATCAAATATCACACCCACTCTGTTTTATTCCATATCTGCCCTTTTCAGAATAAATATATATTTGAATATATTTGTTCCTCTGAAAAGTAACTATTAAATAAGAAAATGATCAAAAATTTTTTGTTTAAAAAAGATGCTTATTTGAAACACCAGAATTAGGCAGTTCTACTGTTTACAGCTACTCATTAGGAGTAAGTTCAAAAGAGTGGCATTTGAGAACCACCTACCAGCAAGTTCCATTATCCAGACATAATAAGAAAGAAAAAAATGTTGAAAGGAATCTATAGAAATAAATCTTTCAGGAAGGAAAATCATCCCTTATTCTATGAACAGTTACCATGAGAAGAAAATGGTGCAGACCCAGGTATCTCCAGAAGAAGAAAAAAGCAAAGGAAAATAATATTTAGGGTCTAGAAAAAAAATTGAGGGAGAAATACTGGCGGCTCATGTGCAGATAGAGTCAAGAAACTTATCTGAAGGAAAAATAGTCCCTTCTTTTCTTTGACCCTAACTGTCTCCACACAAAAAGATAGTATTATTTTATATCTGTTGTTAGAGGCTATTAAAAACCCTTCTATAAACAAGATTGTTGTGTTTGTATGAATGGGCATCTAGTAAACCCTGGAATCTACTTGGAACTTTTATATAAATATGTTGAATGCATTTTTTTTTCAGTTTGGAGTAATATAAAAATAGATGTATACTTGATATTGATACTTGCTATTCCTTGAATCAGTATTTAGAAAATCAAAGTCATTTTACAATTTTTTAAAAGATTTTATTTATTTATTTGAGAGAGAGAGAAAGGAGAGAGAGAGAGAGAGCACAGAGGGAGAGTGAAAGGGAAAAGAATAATCCCAGCTGAGCAGGGAGCCCTACATGGGACTTGATCCCAGGACCTTGAGATCATGATCTGAGCCAAAGGCAGATGCTTAACAGACTGAGCCACTCAGGTGCCTTGTTTTACAATTTTAATACTCAGCTATTTGCAAAATGCATTTCATTTCATATTATCTGGTAAATGGGTTTTCCTAAATGAGATGTCCTGTGTAATGAGAATAGTTGCCAACATTGTGAACTCTGGGGCTAGATGGTTAAAGCTTAAATCCTGTCTCTGCCACTCAAAATTGATATAACCTTTGACAAGTAACTCAAGGAATTAACAAGTAATGACAAGTAATTAACCTATTTGTGCTTTAGTCTTTTCCTCTGTAGAATGAAGACAATAATAATATCTACCTCAAAAAATACCATAGACTTGTCAATTGCGCAAACTTTTCACCTGGCACATGTACAGATTGGGCTTCCCAAAGATAGATTCTGTGATGGAGATTAGGAAACAAACATTTATCAGGGAGAGCTCTTAGAATCAACACCTGTGAAAGAGAAAGAGTCAAAGCAGAACTGGGTAGAAAGGCATTACCAACAGAAGCCATAGCTAGTCTGAAGATAGCGTGACCCTTCTGAGATGTATCATCAGAATGGAAGAGTCAGGTCAGTAAAACCTTCCACTGATAAGTCACCTGATACTAGCTGCCTGGGGAAGAGAGCATGGCCCTCCGTGAGGCAGAGGTCTTCCACTGCGGTAATCCTGGAAGCCTGAGGTTAATGAGGGCTGCTTGCACCTGGGAAAATAAATTCCTCATTCTTAAAGGGGGATCTTGGTTGCCCAACAAGTATATATCACACTATAACTTTCAGTGGTCCTTTTTTGATCATTGCCACTTTTTAAATGAATTCCTTAGCACTTCCCTTCATATTACTCAAATATGTGTTCTTACATGCCTGGTTTTAAAGCCATTTGGTATATCTAAAAATGTAATAATGTAGATATCCACATAGGTTCTGATGAGAAACCACAGGTCAGCTTAGAGAGAGAAATAAACCTGACTCCGTCACTCTCATCACTCCATCCACTCCATCACAGTGGAAAGACAGAAAGTGGTGCTCATCTTATGCAAATAACTTTGGACATTCCAGTCATTTGGCTTGTGATAAAAAAAAAATTTTAATGTCATGAAATTGAATGGTGGAGTTTAGGAAACAAGAGATAATCTAAGTACTTCAAACTGCGATATTTCCTGTTGAGCTGTTTGGTTTGGAGATATTACACCTTTGTAGAAACACAGTCTGTGATGTTTCTTGATGCTTTTAGGATCTCACACCATTAATTGCTCATGCCAGGATCAATTTCTCAGAATACTTTTAGGATTTTCTTTACATTAAACTTAATGGTGATGACTCAAGTTCTGTCACATATCACAAATGCAATTCCCTAGTAAGATTAAATGTGAAGTTTTAAGGATTTTACTGAAATAAATTGTTAATATCCATTAACCTCTTGATCTTGGACAAGGAAAAGTATTTTGAAACCCACATTAACATGTGATCCAGTTTCAATTAAAAATGGGACATATAAGATAAGATTTTTGCTTTTCCCTTCTGAAATAGCATAGACATGAGACCACTGTTATTGATTGATTACCCATCTGTACAAAGCTTAGGCCAAGTGTCTGCCATCTTGACTGATATATACACAGCTTAGAACAAAAAAAGAAATGAATTTGCCATTGAAAGCCTCCAATACTGAGGTCAAGTTGAGATTAAAAGACAGTCACATGTGTTGTGGATTCATTTCAAACATTCACCATTATTAGCGTTCATGCAGAAATATATCTCCTCCTCGGTGACACCTGTACTATTTATGAGCTCTGCAGTTATAAGATCACTTATAAAAATGCTTATTACACTCTCCAGTTTAAGTGGCAGAATGTTTTTGCTGTCCAAAGGTCCTGAAGGAGCCTTTGCTTTCTTGCTTTTGCTTCCAGACTTTGATCTTGCCCCAGCATCTTCTTGGATTTTGGAATCCCTGATATTATGGGCTGAACTTTCTCTCCCTCTCTCTCTCAATCTCTCTCTCTCTCTCTCGTCCAAAATAATTCCGAAAGATTTTGAGATTCATCAGTTATTTCTCAGTTTGCTTGTTGATTGGCTGGATTTACATTAATAACTTTGGTTCTCCCAGGAAACTGGAGTCTTCTAAACTTCCAGGACTGAAAATGAGCAAACAAAAAAATTAGCTGGCTATGTCACTTGGTTTGGGATATTAAAAAAATTTTTTAGGGATCCCTGGGTGGCGCAGCAGTTTGGCGCCTGCCTTTGGCCCAGGGCGTGATCCTGGAGACTCGGGATCGAATCCCACGTCGGGCTCCCGGTGCATGGAACCTGCTTCTCCCTCTGCCTGTGTCTCTGCCTCTCTCTCTCTGTGTGTGTGACTATCATAAATAAACAAAAAAAAATTTTTTTTAAAGATTTTATTTACTCATTCATGAGAGACACGGCGGGGCGGGGTGGGGCAGAGACACAGGCAGAGGGAGAAGCAGGCTCCATGCAGGGAGCCTGACATGGGACTGGATCCCAAGTCTCCAGGATCACATCCTGGGCTGAAGGTGCCGCTAAACTGCTGAGCCATCTGGGCTATCCTGGATATTAGATTTTTTAAAAAATTAAAATAGGTATGTGAGAGTTGAAGAATTTCAAGAGAAAGTGTCTTCTGGAGTGTCTTCTGTACCAGTGATTTTGTTCAAATGTTCTAGACATATTTCCCACTGGGTACCGAGAATGAATGCTTATTGCCCATTTACCCCACATAACTGCTAACAATGCAAGCTGCTAACAGAAGGAGGTACAACTGATTGGCTGTGGGATCAAGAGCTAGACTGTGCACTGCAGACTGAAGGCACCTGTTCCCAATGACTCATTACAGACCTCCAGTGGGCAGCAATTGAGTTGGGAGGCTGAGATGTGAGGAGGAGGAATGTTGATGAATAATTCATCCACAGGGTGGGTTCATGCCAAAGATGCCACAGCTAGGACTGAATTGAAAGGTAATGCTGGCCTGAGAAAATATCTGTAGGTTCATAGGAGTTCTGAAGTTATTTTAAAAATAAGGCATGCACTTATCTATTGAGGGATTTCCTTCTCTGCTGGTAAAAACACTATTTATTTAATGGTGGTTTGTACTTTAAATCCTTAAAAACAAACCTAAGAGTACAAGTGTTAAGGCTTGTAAAACAACAAATGAAGAGGCATTCAGATGAAGGGGAGTATAAACACAGGAGTAAAATTTATGCCAGGAATATCAAGTTCTCTGGTTGAAACTGCTGCAAAGTTTGTATTATTATTATTATTATTATTATTACTATTATTATTATTATCACTATTATTCAAGATATAGTCATTCTCCTTAATTCAAGAACTCTCTGTTCTAGTTGTCTCAACATTCTTAATAGCTCATCCTTACAGCCAAGGCCAAAGCACTTTACTGGAGGGAAAAAAAGTGCTGTTTCAACACATCCCAATTCTCCTGTCTTATTATTTAATCAGCACCTAATTTGAATTTGAAGGTCAACAAGACCAAATCATATGCTCATTAATATTAAAAGAAAAATCAATTAATACTCAGGTGCATGCACACCCGAGATTGTATTCCTTTGGAGCTCTGCAAGTCACATCTTTGCTATTTTGGTGTTTATGAAGTGCAATGTCACCTGGCAAAGGATTTCCTAACCTTTAATCTAGTTGCAGACCCCCTACAGGTCACAATTTCTGTAGAATAAGAGCAAAGCCAGAGCAGGAGTCAGCCCCACCTGGCGAACAAAAGAGAAAGGACGAAACTATGTATGAGGAAGCAGGTTCAGGTATGTGCAGAAGATAAGCATACATGCTCCCAACCATTGGTCCCTGTAGCCTGGCCAAGTGGTATTGGCTCCAGATGGCTCCGGCCATGTTTCTTTTCCTTGCCTATATTGTTGCAGATAATGAAAACATTGGACGACCCATGAAATTCCTCTCAGGCTTCTGCAGTCTAAT